TTATCATTTTTTATAATCGCGTCATCATTATTTATAGGTCGATTTGACTCTGAAACCGTGTTAAGACTTAAGTTTTCATCCTTGCAGATCAATCTGATAACACAAGTAACTCAAGATCTTAATATTTATCACTTCATATTTTACCGATGTGGGACTTCAACACATCTCCACATGACCAGACACTTCGTTTGGATCAGGTCGTCATTCATATTTTTCTTTAACTTGTCATTGTCATTTTTTATAATCGTATCATTTTTAATAGGGTCTCTACACCATGATTATGGATAGGTTTAGCTCTAATGCCATAATTAAGACCTCAGGTTGTATCCTAAAAAGTCAATCTTATAATAATAACTCATAATCTTAGGCTATGTTTGGTAGACATGTATAAGTCTCTACCTTCTAGCTTTTGTACTGTTCAAAAAGCCTCTAAAAGCTTCTAGTTATATGTTTGACATGATAATTTTTAAGAGCTTTTCAAAAATTAAAAGATCTTTTTTGAGATGCTATAGGAAGTAGCATCTGAAAAAAGCCCGTGACTTTTAGTATTAATTAGTCCTAACAGCTTGTATACCAAATCGAACTAAATCAAATAGTCAGCTTTTTACCAAACAGCTACCACATTTTCTCTTTAAGATCTTTTCAGTCACTAAAAGCTAACAGTTATTAAAAAGCTCACAAAAGTATCTTTTCAGCTAGTTGTGTCAAACATAGCCTTAATACGGAGTATATAACACTTTATTACTCTATACATACTCCCTCTGTCCCAATTTGATTTGCAAAATTTCCTATTTTGGTTGTCCCAAAATGAATTTCCACTTTCTATTTTAGGTATATAAATAAGAATAAAGTGACAAATTTACCCTCACTTTTACTTTTTTCTCATTAACCTAAAGACATCTACTTTTAGAAAGATGGACAAAAATGTGAAAAGCAAACATATTTATTATCATTCCTTAATCCTTATGTCGGTCAAAATTTATAATAATATAATTCGGAACGGGAGCAGTAATATTTTACCGGTGTAAGACATCAACCAAATGACTCGGCAAATTCCATGCCAATGCTTGGGTACGAATTTTCCGAGTGAAAATCGATTTGGACTGTATAATACACAATGCCCGTACATCGGGTCGCCTGAGTCACATTCTGAGCCAATTCTAATTAATTTGGTACTCATATTTTCTAAAATAACTTAATTGATTGTAATACGTACTACGTATTATTTTAATTATACTTTTAGTAACTTAATTGATTGTAATAGACAAATCACGAGTGGAAGAAAAAAGTATGAAGATCAATCCCTTATTAAGTCATGTATCTTCACTATAAAAAAAATTACGGGATTGACACGGAATTTGGCACGAATTTATCGATTTTTCGTGTCAAATAACTCGTGCGAAAGTGTTTTTGACACGAATTTTGCATATCTCTGCCAAAATTCCTGTCAAATCTCTGCCAAAATCCTTGTCAATCTCATGTTTTTCTAGTGCTTACAAGTTACATCTAAGTTTAAAATTGCATATCAGCATATAATGTTTTAAACTACCCATATCAGTATAAGCCTCCAAAATCTTATGAGCTGCCTTAGCTTGCTTGCTTTGTATCATATTTATCTAGAGCCATGTAGCACGGAAACTTTTGGGAAGAGTACGTTTCGTTTTGAAAACTCTACGAAAACTCTTTGGAAACTCTCCAAATTAAACAAGTCTTCTTAAGCAAAAGTTGACGTTTCTCATTTACCATTTCCTCATGATTTTCACGTTTCCGTGCAACATAGATTAGAGACATCAAGAATAGGCAGCATGCATTTTGGCATTTAAAAAATGGTGTACAAATTTGTGTGCTGGTCCATTCAACCTTGTAACGTTGTTCCACATACGGAGTATATATTATGCCTTTTCAACATGCCCTCTATATCGTTTGTCTTTCAATGTTGCCCTATCGTAAATGTTTTTACTTTGTCTCATAAATTAATTTTTAACTGAATAAACCAAAAATAAAAAGATTCATGTTTATTCATGACTCATGAGAGGTAGCAAATGTATTGGTACTAACTGAAGGCGATCGAGTGGCAAATATATATGAGTTCTTTATTCATGATGAAATTATAAAATACTCTCTTCATCCCTTATAAATTTGCCAACTTTCTTTTTTTGGTTGTCCCAAAAATATTGTCACTTTACCTTTTGATCAATCAATTTGCGGCTCCTGTTATTTCTATCTCCTCTGCACAAATCTCTACCACACAGTTTTTACTTTATTATTTTACGTGTTAGTCAAACTTGATAATCCTTTTAGGGACGGAGGGAGTAGTACTTCGTACTACGTATATACTCCGTATTATCTTTAATTTATCTCTGTATGTGTATGTATCATTATGTCACAGTTCACAATCACCGTGATGAGCATTATATTATGAGAAAATTCCTGAAATATGAGTAAAAAAGTTTGAAAATTCTAAAATAGGATTGTCATATTTTTATTCCAAAAATAGGAGTAATTACTGCCATGTTTGGAAAATACTGTCATGTTTAAAGTCTGATACTGTCAAAACATGGCAATAACTAGTCCTATTTTGGAAATAAAAACATGATAATCCTATTTTGGAATATATAAACGTTTTAAGTCGTATTTTGGTAATTTCTCTTATATTATACTCCGTCCCATTTTATTTAGCCAAACTTGAATTTTCAATTCAATGAAGTCTAACTTTGACCGATTATATATTTATATAGAGAAAGTATTAATAATATGAAAATGATATGAAAATGTTCTTTGTTAAATATACTATCATAAAGGTATAAAATTATTAAATTTTGCATAAATATATTATTAGTTTAAATAATTGGTCAAAGTTTATCATCTTTGATTGGAAAAATCAAAAATGACTAAGTAAATTTGTACGGAGGGAGTATGGTAAAAGCAAAAGCACAGAATAATATCATATCACTCGTATAATAAGGGATTCATAGTTGCTTATATATGTGTGTGTGTGTATATATATATATATATATATATAATGTAAATGAACACATACGTGATACGTGTATTACTAGTATATTACCAAGAAATGCAAAATAGTAGAAATTTAAAACAATAACGCAAAAAAATCAAGTGTAAAATAAACACATACGGAGTACATAGTATTATAGAAATTGGCCTAAATATGAGTACAAATGTTTTGAAATTTCAAAATATGACTTGCTTGTTTTTATTTTCTAAATATGAGTAATTTATGTCAAGTTTGGCATTAACAGATTTTTTCCAAACTTGACAGAAATTACTCCTATAAAATGTTTTTACTCATATTTAGAAAATCTTCCCATAATATTACCAGTATTACATATAGTACTATATATTTGAGAAAATTGTCCAATATAAGACTAAAACTCAACCTTTTTCTCAAAATAGGACCACATGCATGTTTTTCTCTAAATAGGACTAACCTTACCTTTTTTACCCCTAATTCTATTTAATTAATTAATTGATCTAAATAATTGCCCCCCCCCCCCCCCCCTAGTTTCCTTGCACAACCAAGGCAGTCTGGAGGTGGTGGCAGCTCGGCGGCAGCGGAAGAGGCGGTTTCCGGTGGCGGCGGCGGCAGTGGCGGCAGTTTCCTGCGGCGGCAAGAAAATAACAGACATTAAATAGACAATAAGTAGACAATAAATAAACAATAAATTCTGATAAACACCATTGCGGCGGCGGAGAACTCCGGCGGTGGCGGAGGTGGCGACAGCAGAATCTGGCAGTCTGCCATATATTTTTTTTGAATTTTCCTGCGGTGCTCCGGCGGCGGCGGCAGAATCTGGCAGTCTGCCAAACATTTTTTGGAATTTTCCGGCGGTGCTCCGGCGGCGGCGGCGGTTGCGGTGGCCGGAGCTCTGGCGGCAGGCAGCTGGCCGGAGGTCGAGGGGCAGCAGTGGGGGTATTTTGGTCCAATCACACATAAAAAGTCCTATTTAAGAATGTTTAAACTAATTGGTCCTATTTTGAGAAAAAAGCCATGTTTTGGTACTATTTAGGTAAATCTCCCTATATATTTTGAACAATTAGTTTATTTATTATTAAAAAATTCGGAAAAATGCCTCAAATAAGAGAAATACTCCGATCCCCCATTTCCCAAAAAACGACCTATTTAAGAAGAACTAAATATATGATGCTATTTTGGTCACAATAATTTCTCTAATAATTACCCCGAAAAAATGCCTCAAATAGTTTATTTATTATTAAAAAATCGAAAAAATGCCTCAAATTGGAGTACTACGGAGTAATACGTACGTAGTAGTAGACCAACAGAAACCCATTAAAAGTCTATGAATAACGTCGAAATTGGTAACTTATCGTTAGACAAACCGTGAAATGCCCACCCATTTTAATTATGACCATGACGGTGGTCAACGCAACTCCTACCGGTCACTCCATTGAAACCATCTTTAATTCCATCATCATTTATACTATTTCCATGTTCCATAAAAATTACAACAGTTTTACTTTCACGTTTGTCAACGCGTAACTTTGATTGTGATTATATTTATTTACGTATTAGTAAATATTAAAAAAAGTTAATATATTGAACATTTACATTAATACAAATTTATTAATATTATATACATAATATTTTTATTATATATATTATTAGAAAATCGTAGGTGTGTGAATAGTGTTAAATTCCAATATTGCAACTTTTATGGGACCGAGAAAGTACATGGTACACTATACACACCATCATACCAATTCATTTGTAGAGTTTGGGGAAAACTAATAAAGCTTGATAAAAATGTCAACTCATTGATCCAAAACATTAGATAATTTTACTTGAAGTAAATCGTATTTATTTATGTATATATATATACGTACCGATATACCATGTGTTCCATCCGATCGAATTAATTATTCATTAGCTAATTAATTAATTAACCTTACATGTGGTGATTATAAATAGGTTAGCTGAGTTCATTATTTTCTCTTCTCTTTCTAATTGACCGTGGATACTTGCTAGCTAGTCGCCTCAATTATATTATATTTTATTATTATTATTATTACACACATAAAAAATTATTTATCGGCTTTAATTAGCACTCCGTATATGTTAAGTTTGAATGATATTGAATATAGGGATCGTGGTCGGAGTAATAGTGAATAAATAAAATAAAATAGATACGGAGTATAAATTAAGATCGGAAAGAAGAAAAAGATCGCGCGATCGATCAGAGAGAAGAATGGGGGGAGGAAGCTGCGCCGGCGGTGGCGGCACATCATCACCGTGCGCTTCCTGCAAACTGCTGAGGCGGCGGTGCGCCAAAGACTGCGTATTTGCGCCTTATTTCCCTCCCGACGACCCTCACAAGTTCGCCATCGTTCACAAAGTTTTTGGCGCAAGCAACGTCAGCAAAATGCTCCAGGTACGTCATCTTGATTAATTTCCTTCTAATCATTTTTTAATTTCTTGTCCAAGCAAGGAAGGGTGCCTGTCTGACATAGATTAAGAGCCCGTTTGGTGGCACGAAAATTGTCTGATTTGGCTGATTCTGTTGAAATTTATGAAGTTATGGCTGGAGTGGCTTCACTGGCTGATTCTTCTAATTTCAGGAAAAAATATTTTTAAAATATATTTTATTAATAAAATAAAGAAAAAATTATATATAAAATAGCTAAAATGGTCAGTAACTTCAATCAATACAACCAGAAAAGTAACTCCAACCTTACTTTTTCTGCTTATTACATTATACAGCGCGCGAAAACAAAAGTTACATGTTTGGTGAAAAAGTTGACTGATAAATCTGATAAGCCGAAAAATGATGTCGCCAAACGGCCTCTAAGTAAATCAAGAGCAAGCTGTGAAAGATGAAATGTGTTGCCGTAGGAAGCTAATGAATGAAAAATATCAATATAAGACTTAAGTTGTGATGAATTTTATTACAGTATTTTTTATTATAAGAATTTAAAATATTATTTAATTTCATTAATCGGACAAAATCTTGAGAAGAAAATTTCTTCAAAAATTACTAGTGGGATTAAAAAAAATAAATCTAAATCTATGAAATTTTAGGTTCTAGACTGATAGTTTTGAATTACTCAAACCTTGTGCTGACACACTTCATTTTTAGGTTCAGATTGATAATACATCCATTTTTCAGTTCTTAAATTGATAAAATTCCTTCTTCTCGTAACGTTACCCATTTGCAAATAATGTCATGTACTCCATGAATTTATACACATTATGAAACATTTCACGCTTGCAGCATATTTTTTAAAGTTTTCATTCTTTTGGGGAAAATGGTGTATATATTCTTCTGGGAAAGTCCTCATGATCTGCTTGTAAGTATATTTAATTTGCCAGATTAACAACGCATACAAGTATACAATTAGTAATTATTATAGGACTAAATCATATAATCTCCTTTTGAGCAAAAGTTGTTCCGCAACCGGTATAATTATTAGTCAGGCCCAAAATTAATCTTATGAAAAAATCGTGAAAACTATATGTAATGAATAAAGCTATATATTCTCATGCATGAGTTCATTTGGAGATTAATAGTTAAATGATGTGTCAAACTTTTATGTTAAATAATCTTTTCAGGTAGAAGTTATTTGAATATATAGAAATTAAATCTAGTATCATATAGATTATTTGACATTGAATTTCTCTTAAAAAATTATTGAGTGGGGACTTACCAAAATCTGATTAGTTGAGTACGATCGATCTTTAATTTGAGGACTTTTGAAATTATTCAAGATTTTGATGTGATAACAAAATGACATTAGGGGGGACAGGGAAATATAATTAATTTGAAGATTAGATGCTCTAGTGACATATAAATATACGAAGTATATATTAAGGGTTAGTCTGTTTCAAATGATATATATATATATATATGGGTACTCCATAAGCCTGATCAGACTCGGATGATGCAATAAGCTTACTAGCTTCAAGGAGTTTAAGCCTTCTGGCTCCAAATTAAGGCATAGTCAGAAGGAGTATTTAGTTTTTGTTTGCATTTTGAACATTTAGAGCCGTTTGAAAAATATTGGCAATGTATATGGAAGAATGAACTTAAATTGAAGAGTATTGTCTTGAACTCGATAAAAAATTGTTGAAATTGAAATGAGAGCTGAATGAAAGAGACCAGTTTTGTTAAAAAAAATTGAAGTGACTTTTTTTTGAAGAAAAATTGAAATAACATTTGAAAACTAAAATTAACTAGCATACAAGCAAGCATCTTTTTAATTAGAAACAAAATAAATGTTGAATAATGGAGGATAGGATTAACATATACGGAGCATATGCTAATGGCAATTTAAAAGGTAGGTAGTTGAAATAAAATTAGGAATATCTCATTAACTTTATTTTATTCAATCAAATTCAATTTTTCACCCAAACTAGGCTACATATAAGTCAATCATCTACATTTATCAAATTTCAATTCAAAACAAGTTGAAGTGACATTCCAAACATAACCATTATTTTTTGGCTTAGTTATCAACCATATGTGCATATATGATTCTTTACCAAAGGCTAGTTATATACGCAGTAATAAATATATATATATATATATATATATATATATATATATATATATATATATATATATATATATATATATATATATAAGGACTGAAAAATGAGTGAAAATAGGTTTTTGATTCTTCTGTGCCACTTGGTAGAAGTAAAAATGAGAGTGAATGTCAAAATGTTTTTATTTTAAAACAAGGTAGACTTCTAGCTTAGCCCAACCAGTGATACCATCCTAAAACAAAAATGGAATTAGTATCATAGTATGACATTATGTTTGTTGCATGGGAAATTTACGAGCATATGACCAAAACATGAGGAGATTCCCAATATATGACTAGTCATGTGAACGTGATAGAACTATGAGTTAGTATGGGGCAAGAAAAGGAAAAAACGGAAGATATCATCTATTATTATGCATGGCATGTGGCAGTATAATAGAAAATATAATTGTCTAGTCATATGATGAGAAAGATCAATTATTTTAATCATACGCATGGTAAATTTCTCTTGTTGCATTATCAAGTCATAATAATATCATCATTAAGCCAAACTACCATCATCACATTAAAATGCTACCATCCAAAAAACAAAAATGGAATTACTATGATATTATGTATATTGATTATTGACCATCAACATATCGTTTTATTACCCTATTCAAGTTAAGTCATGAGCCTTAAAAACTCAAGATATAGTCAAGGTAACAGTTTTTGTGTAAGGGCATCCCCATCTATGAGATTATTTAAAGTTTAATTGGATGATGTGTAAGATTGTTTTACAGATCATCATTGTGAGTGAGAGATTATTTAGAGAGATTATTGAAAAAGAAAATCCAGTATCAAGATTTGAATCCTTGATTATTTTAGATTGTAGTTAAAATGCATTTAATGCATGATCTAGAATATCTAATTATTTGAATATCATGATTGATGAAGAATTTTAAGACTTGAGATTATTTGAGATTTATTGAATAAATGTGATGTGACAATGACGTGTAATCGAAAAATCGTTTATTTTAAGATAATGAATGGAGATGCTCTAATGAGCCTTCAAGATGACATTTTTAAAAAGGGAAAGTTCATCAAATAAAATAGGACTAAAACGGTTTTAAAAATTCAAAATAGGACTGTCATGTTTTTTATTCCCAAAATAGGATAGGATTAACATATACGGAGTAAATACTGACATGTTTGAAGTCTGGTACTGCCAAAACATGACAGTAATTAGTCATGTTTTGGGAATAAAAAGATGACAGTCCTATTTTGAAATTTTCAAACTGTTTTAGTCCTATTTCGGGTAATATCTCTTTTATAAATAGTCAAGAAAACTCTTTTTAGTGATATTTTTTAATCTTTCATTGTGCCAACAAAAATGTCCATCCTGAATTTGATTTGACTTTTATAAATTATCATTTTCACTCGATAATATTCCACCCGTCCCATAAAATAGTTCCCGCATTGACTTTTATCGGAGTTTAAGATACTGAGAATAAAGTGGAAATATATGGTTGTGGTTGAATAAGAAAAAGATAATTAAATGAATATAAAGCACACAAAACTTTTCAAAAAAGGAAATGAGAACTGTTTTTTGAGACGACTCGAAAAGGAAACTCAGAACTATTTTTTGGGACGGAGGGAGTAGATGTATAAGTCATTATATATGATGTCATCCAACATTTTGGCTAGGTTGTTTTCTTTATGTTCTATGGTACAAAGTAATGGATTTAATTGGATGTTTGGAATAGGAAATTCCGGTGCATCAGAGAGGCGACGCCGTGAGCAGCCTGGTGTACGAGGCCAACGCGAGGATGCGAGACCCGGTCAACGGCTGCGTGGGCGCCATTTCATATCTGCAGAACCAGGTTTCCCAGTTACAGCTCCAGCTGGCCGTGGCTCAGGCAGAGATACTACGCCTCCAGCAGCAGCACACCGCCGTTATCTTGCCCGCTGCGGCGGCTCAGCTCTACTGCCGCGGTGGTGAAAACGATCACAAACCCCGGGCGTCGTCGCCACTGGTTGTGTCATCGTCAGCATCTCAGGCCGCCGCGAATATGGGTGCAGCTGCTTTGACAAACTTTGGAAGCCTTCAGCCGCTGCAGTACTAATTAATTAATAATGATCAATATATGATTTAACTAATAGCTAGCTAATTATATAGAATCTGCAGCATTTTGATGAAGTAAGTCCTAATAATTAATTATTGTAATCAATTCATTGAGTGTTATTATGTTTTTTTTTTACTAGAAATTAAACTAGCAAGACTAATCGCTCTAGACAAACATAACCATAAGCCTACCGACTCCTTCACTTCTTTATGAGACATAGAATAGTCCACCCCTAAAGGAGACTAATCGCTGAAAATGTGAGAGCTTTGAGACTATTAGTGCTTGAGTCAACTTGATTGTCTCTCAACAGAAATCTAGCAACTAAGATTAACCATTCTAATATTCTACCACCATTATTATTTGACCTATTAAAAACAAAATAAAGATTAGCAAATAAAATATAGCAAAAATAATCAAACTTCAGCTGGTGGAATCGCGTGATCCATTCTTCTAACGTTGTCTTCCAGCCCCTAGTCACGCAATTTCTCTGTGGCGGCAGTTCAGGAGGGGGATGAAGCCCAAAATCACCCTCTTTAACTGGGACTCATACCGTCAAAGTTCCACCCGGATCAAATACAACTGGTGCAGCTCCCATCTCAGTCATCATCGGAGCCAAAATAGCCAAGCCAAGAATCGGAAAATCGGGTCTCGCAACCCTAGCCCACCCATATATAGGCACTTCTCTACTTCCTTGCTTTGGTACTGTTGAGTTCCATCTCTTCTATTTAGTGCCTTGGTGCGTGAATATGTGCCTAGCTTTGAAGGCTCTGTCCCTGCGATTGATGCTGAAATTCAGATGTGGCGCTAACCCTAACCCTGAAGGCTCTACCGCTGCTTCAAACCACGCTTTAATTATAGGAGCCCCTGATCACTGCTCGTACAAGAGGATGAAGAAAGTCCCTGTTTTTAGTCCGTCTCCAGCCTCGGTAACAAAGCCCCTGTTGCCGATCCACTCCTTCTTTCCTTGACTAAACTCAATTGATTGTCGCTGATAAGGAGCCTTCCCCGCCTGATATGCCTCACGCCGAATTCTCTAGTCAAAATAACGTCGGAGAAGATCTCCGCGCACCAAACTTAACCCTGGACCTGCTAGGCTCTTCCGCTTCAATCAGTTTGAAGTTGGATTTAATATTGAGTGTTATTATGTATAATCATCATCATCATCATATCATGCATATTTTTGAATAGGCTTGGCTGGATCAAGCAAAATCTACTATATATATACACACCCTCTAGCATTTTAGACAAGCCCCCTCTCTATTAAAATTGACTATATTGGTTGAATCTGGTGATACTGATGAAGTTCTGGTATGTTGAAGCGGTTGAATTGACCAAATCTTGTAAATTATGAAAAAAAATTATACAGTTAAAATATACTTCGTATTTTATTTAAAAAAATATCTAAAATGGTTATGCAAATAGGACCTCTAACTTTTTAAACCCTAAATAGGACTAAAACATAGGTTTGGTATGCGGATAAGACCTCTAACTTTCAAGCCCTAAATAGGACCTATTTTCAACTGAACAGACAAAAATAACCGCAGCTCCTAAATTCAAGTCGTGATCCACCGTCTTCGTGATTTGCCAAGCTTCACACTACAAAATATATCTACGGCAACCTCAGTCAATTACTCAAAAAATTAATTTCAACTTTACTTAGTTTAATTATTACATGATCAAGCACGCGAAATCAAAGTTACGTGTTTTGTGAAAACAATGACTGAAAAGCTAAAAAATATGATTATCAAACTGACTGTAAAATTTAGAAAAAGTGCACAAGTAGGACTAGTTATGTAATAAAACACGAATTTTGATTTCATGCTCCGAATTGTGTAATAATAAGAAAACTTAAGCTTGCAGTTATTTTTCTGACTGTATTGACTGAAGTTATTGTTGATGAACATTTTAAATATTTTTTCATGTAATTCTTTCTTGACTTAATTAATAAAAATATAACTTAAATATAATTTTTTTAATAAATCAGCAAAATCAGCCAATCCAGAGTCACTTCAACCAGAATTTCATAAATTTCTGCAGAATCAGCCGATTCATTTTATTCATCCGATTTGGTGTTACCGAACAGTCTCTAAGACTTATCTGATCATATTTTGAGCATATAACGTCCTCCTTAAGAAGAAAATAATAATGATGCTATTCTTGCACTTTATCTAATCTATACTTTTGTGTCTTTTAAGCAATTTCCTTTCATTTCTTTGTTTGGTCTCTCTTTCATTTTAGTACTAGTCTTCCACCCGTGTGTTGCACGGAATGTAATTAGATACATTATAAATGTGAATATTTGAAGCAGTTACAATTTACAAATGTATATACATAGACATAAAATATACTAGTACTACATTCATCCTAAAAAATTCTTCTCATTTACTATTTTAGGATGTTGTAATTTTTTTATGACTAACATTCATTATCTTTTTCTTATTCAACCATAACAATACAATTATACTTTATTCTCACTTTCTTAATAAGCGTACCAAGTCAAATCAAGTAGAATTATGAGAAAGCAATAGACTACAAAAAGATATTAACCCCACTAAACACAAGTGTCTTTTCGCTCATACTATTTTTGATGAAATGTCATCATCTTCATCTTATGTGATTTTGGAAGGAAGAGCAATAAAGCCAAAAGACTTTCATTAAATAATGTTGTTGGTGTACATTTTTTGTCATTTTGATAAACTTTAAACATATTTTTAATGGCCAATTCTATGAATATGATCTTCTGCTTGAATAAGGTCACATGAAATATACTCTGTATAATTTAATGATTTATTGGTATGCTTAAATTTAAAATGAAATAATTACATATTTATAATTAAAACTCCTCCTTCTTCCTCCTCCTTGAGGGGTATGATCTTTGTGTTCTCAGCTCTGCACCATAGCCCATACAATCAAGTAATCAACCTCATGTCACCCCGTCGCCCATGAGATGATCACCATGTAAAGAGCCTCTAGACAGTACATCTGGAGACTGGAAAGATTGAACTACCCCTTGAACTACCCCTTTCTAGCCTGCAGGGTCATACACCTTGCTGACACACTTGGAGTTTGACTGCCATTGACAGTTCTAACTTCTAAATACCAAACAAAATGAAATGTATTTGTCTTTGAGATCACATCAAAATCTTATACTCCGTATATATGTATGTAGTTTTTTCATCATACACTATAAATCAAAATGTGATGTCTATCACCCGGGAGCTTGTAAAAACGTAATAATTTTTTTTATTAATATGGAGTACATTTTATGTACTATTTTTATTTATTTTATAAGTACTACTCCTTAATATATACTACGTAATATTTATAACAATTCATGCGATATTTTACTTTAATCAAGGAAAGAGTATATAGGGAGAGAAAACAACTTAAACTATAAAGTTACTGAAAGATTATAAATTGTAACACCGAAATAGTTTTTATGTAGATTGAATACTTATGTATTATTAATAATAATTATATAAATTATAAAATATGTAGATTGAATATTTTATGTATTATTTATAATAATTATATAAGGATATTGTGAGGGTTGAATTTAAAAAATGCACCGATATTAAAAGTGATTATCCTATGTTTCTTTCTATTGATGTTTTTATCGAAACCGCCATCGACTTACTAAAGTACTTTTTTAACAATGAGTGTTTTGGCCCATGATAAAATCAGTCAACACTAGCAACTTCCAGTGAAGCAATCATTTATCACATACCCCCTTCTCCTAACACAAAAAATTACTTGCACAACCAGAACTTCCTGGTTGTGAGGTTACCCCTGCATAGGAGGGGTCTCGTGTTCGAGTCCCAAGCATCAGTGGTACTATGCTCCCCAAAAAACCCTTCAAGTGGTAGGGCCAAGCGGTGTATACTAACCCGTAGGGCCAAGACAAAGTTGAGTTTCTGAGGTAAGGGGCCGTGAAATCGGTGGATCTAGTCACTATAAAAAGTTTACCCATATCTTAATTAGTTTTAATCAGAACTTCCGGCCTAGCTGGTTGTGACTTGTGAGGTTACCCCTGCATAGGAGAGGTCTCATGTTTGAGTCCCATTAGCACCAGTGGTACTATGTTCCCCCCAAAAAACCTTCAAGTGGTAGGGCCAAGCGGTGTATACTAACTCGTAGGGCCAAGTCAAAGTTGGGTTTCTGGGGTAAGGGGCCGTTGGACCTTAGTTTTAACCAACCATTCCAGCTCACTGGGTGGGAGGTTACCATGTTCTAGCGGAGGTCTCGGGTTCGAATCCCGCTAGGCACATTTAGGGGAGAGGAGGGAGGTCTTGTTTCCCATGATTGTTCCTACCTTCACGGAGTTGCTCAGCGGCTGAGAAAGGAGAGGATGGTAATAAAGATAGCGGGTTCGTACGTGTGGTGGGAGGAGCAGCCTAAAGGGTGATGTAAGTCCTGCTGGATTCGTCCTTATTACAACCACCTTTTTGCCTAGCCATTAAGATAGACCATTAGGGTATTTTTTTCAAACTATTAAATGCAAAACGTGAATAAATGTCATTGGTTTTCAGACAATCGCGACCAATTTACATGTCCAACGGAATCAAGCTATGATGTGACATAACTGGAAACTAATGATTTGTTGCTTTATTATTTTCTTAAGTCAGTTTGTTTTTTATAGTTTTGCCAAGTTCAGTGATATGAATTACTTTTTATTTATTCGTTTTGAAATTAGTAGATTTGTAAGTTTGTTAAATCACGATAGAAACATGATCATTGGGCTTATGCTTGGGGTGATATTACGCTTCAGTTTGTCCATTAAATGGTTAACGACTAATGGGACTCGTTTGTGAGTGGCAAGGTCAAAGTCTGATCATTGGGCTTATTCTTAGGGTTATTATGATCTTGAGTCTATTGTAATGTTGCTTGATTTATTAAATTTAATATAGATTATTTCCATTAAAAAAGTTACTTATACTACCTCCGTCCTGAAAAGGTTTGTCAAATTGACTTTTCTTGATCAATGATGGCAAACTTTGAGCAATGATTTTAGTTATTATATTTGTATATAATTTATATATTTTATACTTTTATGAAAATATTTTCAATAAAGAATATTTTGATATAATTTT